AAGAAAATATAATCATTAGAAAGAGTATTAAGAAGAATTTTTTTTATAATAAGAATTTATATTGTACTAATTTCTGGAGAAAAATTTTAATGGGGGATAGATTATTTTTTAATTTAAACATATTTTTTATTTTATTATATATTTTATATGAGATTATTATATCTCATAATATAGAGAAAGGACTGAAAATCGAGAGATAAATGACTTTTATCGTATAAATAATTAAAGTCATTTAATACAATGTGATTTCTGTCAATATTTATTTCGAAATTTGTCAAAATTATCTGCGTGCATTCAAATTTCAATATGCGCATCTCTACAGTTCTATTTACTGATACCATGCAGATATTTCCCAACGCGCGAGTTTTATTGGGCAATACAGAACTATTGTCAACTTTTTCCATTGTTCATTTATTATTCGTACTTACGAGGTCTCTCACACATTGATATTTCGGATAAAAGACCTAAACATTGATGAAACATTATCGATGGTAACGGGGTTGAGAATATGTTTCACGAATTATATTATCGGCATTTTCCTTTAGCGCGGATAGATCCAATCTGATCTATCCTAGGGAAATTGCGTTTTGCAAGCCAGAAAAATTGCATTTGCGGTGGCTCACGTCAAACGTGAGATTACTGTGGTAATCGCGTATGTCGGGTATAGCTTAATCAGAATAGATGTAGAATATAAAATATTTGACATTAAACTGTACATAAGCATAATTTACATACCTAACATTAAAAATATATCTGTTTATCTTATTTATTTTCTTGCAATTTTATACACGGAAAATTTAAATATTAATGATTGATTTAATATATATAATAATTATCCGTTTGTTTATTTATTTAATAGAAGATTTTATTATCATAATTATTTTTTCTTTTTAATTTGACATTTATTATGCCATGCTTATAAGCTCTTACAAAGCGAATTGTTCTTCATAACTGTACAGCTGTTTAAATGTTACAAAGGTAACAGACTAAATCGCTGTTGTAGCTCTACAAGTTTCATGAACGAGTTTCTTGCGATATTATTTAAAGTTTAAGACTTGAAGTTTACTGAGGTGGTCATCGGTTGCGGGTTTCCGCATCATATGACTATGGTCTTTCCAATGTACTTTCCAAGATCCAGGATTTAATCGAAACCAACATGACTATCTTCCTAACTTCGGTATCGGTTTCCACTGATGCCACTAGTGATGTAACTTGCAAGTTTGTTGAGAAACACTCTCCAAAATCTTGGAATTCTGCGGGTGCCTTTTCATGTTAACTACGATTTCCTGTTGCGGAATGAACGCGGGTTTATTTATCACGCATGATTTCATTTGTCGCCTCTGTAAAATTAGTTTAGCTCGTCGCGCTGGAAACATTCAAGCGAGTGTGAGATTAGAATTAAACGATGCTCTCATTTGATATATTACTCTACTTTGAACTGTTCTAGTTTATTATATTTTTGTATTACGCAGCTTATATTATTTGTTGGTATAATTTAGTAAATATTTTTTTTATTAGAATTGTATAATAATAGATTACTAAAGAAGATTATTGAAATAGAGAAAAGACTCTAATATTAAATAATCGTAAGCAAAAAATAGCGAGCTAATTAAGAGTTAAGCGTGGTAAGCAATGTGCAAAATATTCTTCCTTATTAAGTATTGATTATTTGGTATGTCTTTATCCTAATTTCGGAAGGTAATAATCAATTTAATCATTCCGTAATCCTTAGCAACGGACAAGTGTAATAAATTTTCCTCTATAATGAACTGATAATGGCCCAATATTATAGAATCGAAAAACGTACAAAATAATACTTGACAAGAAAGAATTTTGCGCACTGGTTATTGTTTTGGTTTTTAATTAACTTACGATCATTTGCTTGTGAATATGTAATAGATAATATTAAAGATATTATGAATTAATATACATATATCATATAAATATGATAAATTAAATATATATATATATATATATATATATATGTGTGTGTGTGTGTGTGTGTAAAATTAATAAGAAAAATAGGCCAATTAAACGAGCAAGGTTTAGATGTTAAATAATTTTTATTTAAATATATCTATATATATTATGATTGAAAAATAAACGTTTTGACTCATTGTCAATCTTTTTCAATACAATAACATAAAAATACAAAATATAAAAATATATTTATGTAAAGTTTCTATCGTGTTCTATATGTTTTCACATTTTGTATTTTTATGTTACTGTATTGAAGAGAAGACTGAGTACTGTCAAAGTGTTTACCTTTCAGCTATAATATAACATATTCAAATAAAAATTATTTAACGTTTAAAATTTCCTTCCTCGCGTTTAGTTGACCTATTTTTTCTTATTAATTTTTTAATTTACACCAGCCTAATAATTATGAAATTTTTATATATGTATATATGTATTTACTCAATATCTCTTTCTTTATATGTTAATGTATGTACATAATCTTTTTTCCTATTATTCTTATGAAATAAATTTAAAGAAACATATAAATGTAAATAAATGTATATATTATATTATATATATTTAGTTTACGTATATGTCTGCTTAAATTTATTTCATTTAAAAGTTAAAAAAGCTTCAATGAGATTTTTGAATAATATAAAACTAAATTTTAGATTCTTTTTATTTTTAATAGCTTATTTTTATTTGATGAAAATATCTTGCGATCTATTAAATATAATAAAAATTAGACGCGATAGTTAAATTAAGTTTTATCAAATGGATAATTATTAGAAAATGTTGGAAAAGAAATGAGATATTAGCACATTTTACGAGCAAATACATTTATATCACGAGATATTCGATTCGTTAAACTCGTTAGATTCGTTAACTCAATATTTCGTTTGTGATACTATTATAAAATTTCACCGTTCTGCTGATAATATATGTCATTTGCAATGCAAATTTTTTGCTTATCACTTATGGGTATTTTATGAAGAATGTTAATTTCCATAAATCCGATTAAAATATAATCCGATTTTTTTTTGCTTTGTCATGCAAGAGCAAATTTTTTTTGCTTTGTCATGCCTTTTCGTATTATTCTTGTAGCCAGCAAAACGTTGCTCCATTGTTTGCGCAAATGAGAGAATGTAAGAGTAAATGCAAACAATCGAAGCTTTGCTGATCGGATAACGTTTTCGTTGATATCTATACTGCATTTTACGACAAATAATAGATATATCGGAAGGAGGCAGGGAAAACGGACTCGTGATGTGGGATGCGCCATTGCACTCCCATTCTTCACGCTCCGTTGTTACTTGGATTTACAACGCTTTTCTCTCGTGTACGTTTTCACTTTATCGTACTATATCATATTGTCAGTAAAACTAATGTACGAGCACGTTTGAGACGATAGAGAGATATTCAGTGAAAAATGTTTTGTTAAAAAAATATATTTATCTATAGATTTTTTTCCCTTTAGTTATATTCTTGCGCTTTACATTTGAATGAAAATATGTTTGCATTTTTTTAGAAATATTGACGAAAAGGAGAAAGAAAAAAGAAAAATCTAGCAAGTAATATGAATAAATATATTTTGGTTATTGCGTTGTCACGATAACTTTTCCACTTTATTATTATGTAGGAGATAGAGAGATGTGTGTATTATATTTTTCAAGCAAAAGTCAGAGATATTTGCGCATGCGCTATCAAATACAAATGTACAATATGCCATGATAATTAGTAATTAATATGGCATTACATGCCGCAGAAGACAGTTCCCCATCAAGCGGATGAAAATCTCAATAATTGGTTCAGTCGTGGGTCCTGACGCTCTAGATCCTCGCGAAATTATCGAGCCGATTAATTGAAAGCGTCGTAATTGCTTCCGGCCAATCTTGCTGGAACTTGGCAAAAAATAATAATTGCAACAGCTGTGTGAACTGCTGAGAATATTGTTGAGTTATCAGCAGAAAATGAACACGCAATTGGATTTAATTATAAACGTTGCTTCTTTATATCAACCGAATTCACTTAAGAATCAATTTATGATACAAATATTGTAATCAATATTTTTTAAATAAATCTCGAAGAAATAGACAATTAACTAGACGAATCAGAGTAAAATTTAAAAATTTGAAATAGGTGATATTATATATTTTTTGTAAATGTTTTATATATACATATTTCAATTCAGATTAGCTAATAAAGTTTTTAAATTGTCGAACTTGTATTCGGAGCATATATAATTGCGATTTAAATAAAATTTTAAAATTGTTTTATAATAGCAAAGTTAAAAGCATTTATAAGTATACAGTGCATTATACTATTGTAATATTGCTAAATTGACTTTATTAAATTTATTTAATTGAAAATTATTTAATTAACTATGTTTAGTAAAAAATATTTCAATATGTTTTTTTTAGAAGTGAGAATTGAACCAATTTTACAGAGGATAGATATATCAATTTTAAAGAAGATAGATCTCTCTTTTAATTAATAAAAACAATGTTAATGAAATATTTTTAATGGAAGAGGCTAAACAGTTTTGGTTAGAAGAGACAATATTAAAAAATTATTACTTATTACTTATTTATTATTATTATACAATAGCTATTTAAATTACGAAGAAATAAAATTAAATGATGTAATTAAATACTGAAAATATTTATACAATTGAGAAGTAAAAAATATCTAAATCTAATAAATCTACCAAAGCAAGCACTCTAAACAAAAGTTTAAACACGTTTGAAAAATTTAGAAAAAATTTAAACATTTTATACGCAAAGAACATATATAACTTAATGTAATATATATTCGAGATTTCACTTGCGATTACACATCCTTTTCCTGACGTAGAAGTAAAATCTCATTTATTTTTCAGTATCTTTTTACCGGCAACCTGCAAAACATTTCCTGGATGCTTCACAAATTTTTCAATCTCTGTGTCTATGTAATATCATCATGTGCTGGTGAATCAAATTTTGTCTTCCTTCTCTAAAATATAATATTATCGTGTATTTAATTCATGAGAGATATATATTTATAGTTTTCAATGTTAAATAATTATATAAACGTTATTAAAAAATAAAAGTGTTGCTAAAGTGTCTTATCTTGTTGTGATATGTGTTTTTCGTGATGCTACGCGCGCACGTCAGTTAAAAATTTAAATAAATAAAAAATATATATATATTAATTGGATCATAAAACTATATCATGTCATTAAAGAAAGTTTTCAAAAAGTCCTGCAAGTAAAAAGTCTAGAAAGTGTAATCGTGGTAAGAAGATGTCCTACAACTTTTAAATGTGATATATAAATGTTCAACGGTGACATAATGACGAAAATACGAAAAAATTACATAATAGTGACTAAAGTTATCAAAAATAAAAGCAGAACGTGTATCATAAATAACTTGGACTGCGAATTTGTCATTCTGTGATTATGACAATGTACCTGACTTCCTCCTGATGATGAATATATTCCTGCAAAGCTGAACGTAAATCCTTTAAAATTATAAATAGAATAAATCAAATTTGTGCGATTCAAGAAAGAAAAAAAAATGCGCAACTTATACATTCTGTTGATGGTGAGCATACTCGTTGCCTCGACCAGAGAGGTAAAGAACCGCTTGAAATCGTCGATCGGTCAGACTGGTCATCAAAAATTGACCAAGAACACCAGCAACTCCACATTGGAAAATCTTACTATTGGCATGATAGTGCCACATACGAATTTCAAAACGAGAGAATACACAAAAGCCATCAACAGTGCTCTCAGTAATCTGAACAAAGGTTATACCAGGAATAAGAACCAGTCCAGCTTCTTATTTCGGAACAAATATCACCTGCAGGTCAACCACAGAATGATGAGGCTGACGCCGAGTCCTATAGGTAAATACTTTCGTGGTAGATTAAATCTTAAGAAGAACAGATTATTTTGTTGTTAGATGTATAATAATTAATATTACACACTCACACATACAATACATATACATATAATTTATTTATTATTTATTTATTGTTATATTATAACTTATTCCCGAGATATTAATTAAGTAGAATATTATCGTACACGTTAAATAGAAACATTATTAGAATAAAAGAGTTGATTAATATACATATAAAATTTAATGTTTACTCAGAATAATTTTATCTTTTCAAAACGTTTCTATTTAAAAAAAAAACATTATTGCTTTGGATATAAATTTTTAATATGCTTTCTTATCTGATATCAATTTTTATAATCTTTATTTTTTATATTTAATAATTTATTTTTATTTGCAATGTAAAGATATATATTCTTGAATGCAAATGTATAAAATGCAACAAAATCTTAAACGTTATATAATTTTGTTAATCAGTTTAAATCTTAATTATATGAAGAGAAATATTTTTTTTTACTTTCTCTTTCTTGTTTATGATCCCACTTTATTATTTTCAACTTTACATTTTTTTAATTAAAATAAAGATAAGAGCAAAAGATTTACGCGCATGTAGATAAGCACCGCTGCAACTTGCGGCGACTTAGCGAATCTTGATGAGGTTCTAACAGATAAATATAAGCATACGAGATAAAGAAGAAATAGTTGTTTCTTCTTTGAGTATCTGGCGCCCGTGGTTTTCTCAGCTAATATTGTGAGGTAATAAGGTGGTAAATACGAGTGACGATATTAAACTCACAGAGCCTTGCCACTATATTTTTTCATTAACATTAACAATGTGACACAGTATTATACAGGGTGTCTCACAATTATTGGACATTCTCTTAATAGAGAGATTCCTAGGATTATTTAGAGACGATTTTTCTTCAGCAAAAATGTCGAGGGAGGTCATCATTTTTTGCATGTTCTCAATTTTTGCCATTATGTATCTTTGTAATTTTTATTTCCACAAGGCTTAGTTTGCGAAAAACTTTATTTTCAACTGCTTATAACTCTAAAATTATTATTGATGCATCAACATTTTTACTGAGGAAAAATCGTCTCCAAATATTCTAAGGAATTTTCCTATTAACATTTCCATTAATTTTGAGACACCCTATAAAGTGACATTAAAAAGCCAGATAACAGAATTATAAAATTAGCATATTTTTCTAGTCAAACTTTTATCCATATGCATAATAAGTTTATGAAATTTCAAACAGTACGGAGTACTGCAAATTTGCAAGAAGCAAAGATCACTTTCAATATAACTCTCGCGTGTGCACTCTGCGATACTTTTTATTTTCGTTATTCGGTTTTAGTGTTTGAAGTCGGGTGAACATCGCCAAGCAAACACGGCTTTCTCTCTTTCTCTCTCTCTCTCTGCACGCGAATCCCCTTGTAATTTTCCGTCCGACAACGTTGGCCAGGAAGATTTCGCCGCGGGAAATATTTCTCCGTTGCGTGTTTCGCCATGGGAGTGATGTACGATCTGTCGGAATTAACATTGGCGGGATGCACATTTCTCCTGCATCGCGAAAGATATCCCAACGTGCCGATATTTCAGGCTTAACTCACACGTCGACGGCGGGGGATAAATGTCAGTGTGTTTACGCGCTCGCTGTCATCCGGTATATGATTTCTGTGGAACATTTCTCTTTTTCGAACGATATTCGGACGAACGTGTACTGACTGTTTCAATCTCTCTGTTTAATATCGCAACCGCGATCCACTTTACCGTAATAACGTGCGCTGTGAACTCTAAGCTACGGCCTTTTTTTTTTTTTTTTAATATATGACAGAGAAAAGATTGTGTAACGCATAAAAAATTAGTATTGTTAAATCTTAAATAGTCACAAAGTGCGACATTTGTTTTTACATTTTACAACAATTTACATACATCAAATATAATATAAAGTACTTATAAAGTAGTCAACTGCTATAATTTAGATTGAAATTTATCTTTGAAATAAGTTATAAATTAATATTCAAACGTAAATAACAAGTTTTAAAAACATGCATTAAGCAGATATCGATTAACTTTGTATTGTATTTTACTGCACTAGGCTGCTGGGTATTAACTTTCATTAGATACCTGTTTACGGAGCGCTACTGTATACCCTGCAAGCTAGACTTAGATATTTACTCAGGACACGTTTCGGTGTGGATTCAATTAAACTTGCGTCGTTAATTTGTACCTTACGGTGAGAAAGTTTGAAAACCGTGGGCACTGTACTTTTACTCTCCAGGTTTTTGTCGTGATGTTACGCCGAATTTTCCTCGGATGGATTTTAATTAAGAAAAACTTGAAAATTTACGATTGACGATGACCTAGCTGTCACGTATTAAATTTGCATATAAAAGCGCTCCTGTTAATACGACGAAATAATTAAACAGTAAAACGGATACGACATAAGTTTATATTATCTTCTTTTATGCATTCGCGTTACAATACTATATTATAAGCAATAATTCCATTAAAAAGCACACACACACACACATATATTATATTAATTCAGTATCTAATTATGTTAATTCACTTACTTTATAAAATGTTATCTCTTTCTAAAATATTATATACATTTTATTTTATAATTTTTTTATATTATATATTTTTTAAGATTATTTGATAGAAAAAAACAATTTTAAATTTTTATAAATTTTTATCAAGTAAGAAAAGCATTATTACTTTGAAATTATATAGAATAAATAATTTTAAAAATTATGTTAATTATATTAATTTTAAAAATGCAGCCATTTGTATGTATACCTATCGCGTAAATCAAGAAACATGAATTATAATTTAATTATTATAAATGCCATAAAAAATGTTATTCTCGATTTTCAAATGTGATTTGTAATGAAAATAATAATTGTCTTATTAAACTCCACTAATCGTTAAAATAGTTGTTGATGCCAACTTTAAGATATGTTAGCTTCAGTTTTACTATAATTTTGTTTTCTTAGCACGTTCCTACGATCGTATTTAATTTCTTTCGCTACTACTTTGAACGTGAATCCCCTTAGTAAAACAAATAAAGTTACAATGTATTTCATTCTACTGATATATCGTTGTATAAAGGTAAACAAATATAGTTAATCGAATTAGTAGAAACTTACGTCTAAGCAGAATAGCTATTGTGCCAGTAGAATAACATTATATATAGTCAGACATGATAAATGACGTCTTTACAGCTAGAATAAAGAGGATGATTTTATTATATTTTTGACGTACTTGTATTTATCCTGGAAGGCAAATGTCTATCTATAGAAACGTATAGCTATAGAAATGTATTGTCCACATTCATAATTGGCTGATTAATTAGTAGTGCGGTTAAGCCGGCTATTGATGTACAAACGTTACACCGCAACAGCCAAGGCAGCATTCCCAAGCTAGTATCCTCGATTACGACAGTAATCATTATCAATATTGTAATTACTGGCAAAATATCTTTGTGGCTAAATTCGATTTATCAGGATTGCCATTATTGACATCGGTAATTGTCGGGCGGAATAAATGCGATCATTTTCTGGGATGTCGACGCAGATGCGTTATTATTGATAACTCGGGATTGGTGAAATCCTGTTAAGTTGTTCGTAAATAACGTGCTTAAAATAACTTCGCAAATGTAATTACGAAAAGAATAATTTTGATAAATTACACATTTAATTATGTCAACGTTTGATATTAATAATGAATTAATAAATTATATTAAATTCTCGATTTTCCGATAATCGTCATATTTATGGTTCATTGCAGGAAGAAATTTGTAATCTGTCAATCTACAAAAAATAATGAAATGTGAGATCATTGTAGAATTAAATAAGAATAAGGGCATTCAATTTGACAGGGGCATTTAATTCGTCAAATGAAAAGACAGCCGTGTTTACAATGCTAATTTTATCGCGTCCAATTTAAATGCCATATGCTGCTGCATGTCAGAATCCTTCTCCCTTTACCGATATTTTATTAGAAATTATTAATTTTCACCAAACACGCAAAGTCGTAAATAACCCATTTATCGATTTAAATCAAACACCACGAGAATTGTAAATAATCCACTCGTCAATACTTCACGAGAGTTTAAAACGAGCGGCTCGCCGAGTTTGTTCTCCCATTCTGCACTTTTATCGCTTTTAGAAATATTAGTATCAATAGATTTCGAATGAAATAAAATATTGTAAAATATTTTTTTTATTATAGTTGCTATATATATATATATATATATATATATATATATTGAAACATTTTAATAGATATATGAGTAAGAGCTGTTATTTGCTTTTTTATTTGAGTATTATTAATTTCTCTAAAAAACTATTGCAATGTGTGAAGTATCTGAGTAAAACTTGATATTTAAATATATAAGATAACAAATAGTTAACAATATTGTTTAAGATAACACTAAAAAGACTTAGGAAAGATTTATGAAGATTTATGAAAATTCTATTTGAAATAACAATGCACTTGTTATTGTAACTAATAAACATATAATCTTATAACATTATTTTATCTGAATTAATAAAAATTAAATTTGCTTTTAATTATAAATACTTACAAAGCATTGCATATTTAATTATTTTTACTGTATTTGTTATTTTTACCGTATTTGTTATTTTTACTACCGTTTATCTTAGCGGATTACAAGTCCTATCTCAACAAATTACGATCGCATGATCGACGAAACACTCGACTGTAGTACATCTCACAACAGATACACAAGTTAGTTTCTGATCAAAGGAATTTACCTTAATCGATTTGTTGTTTATTGATACAAATTTAACTACTACATATTTATTAATTCAAAATATATTATAACATACGTGTAATATATTATAACATTTAGAGAAAGAAAGTTATCCATATTTATTGATTTAATTTAATATAAACAATTTCTAGATATAATTTTTTGCAGGAATAAATGTACAAACTACTAACAATATGTGAAAAACATATATGTTTATTTTATATATATATATTACATAATAAAATTATTTTTGAAAAGAAGAGAGAGATAATATATCTGATAACATATTTGATTATTTATGCTTTTGGAATGTAATTTGTGATTTTATAATATATTCCAAAAGCATAATAATTATTACATTTGTTGACAAAATTGTGTATATTATGACTAATTTCATCTTTAGTGTTATTTTATTTAGGCATCAAGGTAGCAAATAAATTATTCCATTAGTAATTACTACGGCTTTGTTGATGATAATATTTGCAGATAGAGTTCTGCTTATACTGAAATAATATTGTTTAGTAATCAAATTAATTTTTATTATAAAGTTATTACAAATGGAGTTAATTGCGTATTTTCATGGCATATCAAAAGTACGAGTACATTACCATTACGCATATTTTGCTTTCGATAATTTCATTTTAACTTCAATTTTATTTTATTTCAATTTATTTTCACTTAGCATTCAAATTAAATTTATTGAGAAAAATTTCATTATGAAACATAAAAGATGACGTAAGTCAATCACGTATTAAATTAAAAGTAATTGTATTAACGTTTTATAATAATAGAAACAATTATTTCGATAAATTATCAGTTGCATATAATTTTAAGCTTATTAAATACAACAGCAATTAGTACGTCAAATATATTTAAATCATATCTTAGCTTTAGTTTATTTCTAAAATAAGCCTTGAAAAAAAGCATTTAAAAATTATAAAAGTATAGTAATATAAAGAAGAAAGTTAGAAGTAAATAAACACAAAACGTTTAGAAATAAAATGTGATTACTTGTGACGAGAAACTACAAAGAAGCGAGTTTATTCGCACGTATAAAATATTGTAGATCTTTTTGTTGAAATAAGTATAATTAGTTTCATAGTGTTTTGATAATAGTTTGATCTATAAGAATTATTAAACTCTGTATAAAAAAAATAATATAAAGAAAAGCGCGTATATTCTTCAAGTACGTATAAACATTTTTAAATTGCGTATGTAAAAATCATACATGTAATGTCCAAACCACAATATCCTACACAAGAGATTTTAAAATTCGAGATCCATTGTGTAAAGAGACCATATCGGTCATTGGACGAAGCCAGTCAACTTTTCCATGGTGATCGATCTTCTCTAGAGTACTTGACAGAACGTAGAAGAGTGTTCGTATTTCATGAAACAACATCACATCATATGAGCGTTTTTCGGACCAGAAAATGTTTTCAGTCGTGAATTAAATGCGACTATTAAATATAAGGATTACGAGATTCGTGTTACATGAGCATTTTTTGCATCAGCAAAACAGTTTTGATTGTTGACAAACGCATAGCTTATTGTTAAAATTATACAGACATTCCGTTAATTACAAAATTTTAGTTTCTGTTTTATGAAAATCAGTTTAACTAGTTAGGTTTCTATAAACAGTTGAATTTTATTTGAGCTTGACAAAACTGTACTTTTTTGTATGGTTCTATTTTATTTATATCTTCTTTTATAGAGCAGAATTTTTTTTATAAAAATTGGTTAATAATGCATTTTATGTTAAAATAAATCACACACATGTGAAATGTCGCATAATCAATTTTTATATATTCTTTCATTAATAAAGAATCTATTCTTCTTACAAAAAAATCAAACATTATTTATTTTTTAGAAAATCGATTGTAAGGTAAAAGTTCTTTAAGAATATACGGAATATACATATATATAATCAAAAGTGTTATAGCTTGCTTAAATCCAATTACACTATGCTTTTTATATATAGAATTTTAATTCAATCTTGTGGTTTCTGTGCTCTCTATTTAAATTCAATTAAGCAAAGCAAATAGATCTTTCGCGTAATGTAAAAATCCGTTAAACTATTATAAAACTTTAACTTTATTTCGCACTCATTGGAAAACAATAGAGGAAAACAATAGAACGAAAACGAGGTCAGTTGGCCAAGCAACTCTCTGCGTGGGACAAGTCGGACTGCATTCGAGGTCCGAGTAATGCTTTTCATCGTTTTTCATTTCTTATTTTTCAGAAAATAGGTATGCATGTAATAAAAACGCGGAAATAAATTTCACAGAAAAGAATAACGCGATTGCGGCCGACACCAGAAAAAGTTGAAATTGCATTCACCGTTTTATTCCCGCGGCTAAATGATGCATTCGACATAAAGATGCGCCTATCAACTTTAATTGAATAAAGATTTGTGCGATTTATTATAATTTGCAGAGCACAATAATGTCTATCATTTGTCTCTCAATATTTAGCCGGTTTTATTATTAATAAAAAATATTGAATAATGAAAATTAAAAGAGGACACACATAGACATACAAATATACTCGTTAATCTGTATCAATTTGATTCTTGCAAATTGTAAACTGTTAATGCATAATTGTATTAAGAAGTAATTCTATTATTTAATATTAAAACTAGATATTTTTGAAAATCTTTTTAATGTAAGACAAAGAATTAGGAATTTTTAAAAATGTAAAGGACAGTATAAAATACATAATACAATATAACAGACATAAATATATTCGATTATTAGAATGATTATTAACGACGATGGGGGGAATTTGTGTTGCAGCTATTTTAGACTCGCTCTGCAAAGAATTTCTCTCGGTGAATGTATCGGCCATCTTATATCTTATGAATTACGAGCAATACGGACGAAGTACGGCCAGTGCTCAATATTTTCTCCAATTGGCCGGTTACCTAGGAATCCCTGTGATCGCATGGAACGCCGACAACTCCGGCCTCGAGAGGGTGAGTTCATAACAACCAAAGTATAAAGTGAAAGAATTTATATTTCTCTCGGACACGCAAACAATTATCTGTGAAATTTTTATGACGTTAAAGAATTTCTCCGGTTATATTGAAATATACGAGATCAAACGGCTGGGTGCAGTTGCAGTAACACGAGTTTCTGCACTATTTACTTTGAAAGTATTTTCCGTAATATAAAAAACTGAAATTAAATTCGGACGGGGAAAATATATCGCGTACGCGTGTTTCATCATCGTTTCGCGGAACATGGCAGAAATTTTGTCGATCCGCAGCGGGCTTCGCAGAGCAGTCTGCAGCTGCAGCTGGCACCATCGTTGGAACATCAAACAGCGGCGATGTTGAGTATACTGGAGAGGTACAAGTGGCATCAGTTTAGCGTCGTCACGTCGCAAATAGCCGGTCACGATGACTTCATACAGGCGGTCAGGGAGAGAATGTCCGAGATGCAGGACACATTCAAGTTTACCATATTAAGCGCCATCCTGGTCACAGATCCCAAGCACGATCTTCAGGAACTCGTAAACAGCGAGTCCCGAGTGATGCTTTTGTACTCGACCAGAGAGGAGGCGATTCATATTTTGACCGCCGCCAGAGAGTACAAAATTACCGGCGAGAATTACGTGTGGGTTGTCACACAGAGCGTTATCGAAAATCTACAAACCCCCAGTCAGTTCCCGATTGGAATGTTGGGTGAGTAACAAAATTATTTATATTCGCGTATTTGTGGTTACCGGATTCAGAAATTTGTGCAAACTCGAAAGACCGCTTTTATAGTAACGCAGATTCCTAGTTACGTCAAATTAGCGTAAACTATCTCGCGTCTGTAGTATATACGTAAATACTTGTGGCTATTAAGTTTAATCAAATTTACGCAATTGTAGTAAATACTTTCCAAAATTGCAAAAGTGCATGTAAAAAATAGAGAATGTCTTTACAAATGTATTTATTGTATATATATATATATAATAAATATATTATAAATACATTCTATATATATATATATATATATATATATATATATATATAATTTAAAAGAAGAATTAGAAAGAATTAGATATTTAAATTACGATAAAGGTAACTCTTTAAAGCGCTTTCGTAATTTAAAATAAGACATTACACATAGAAATGCGTGCACGTAAAACGGAGAGCAAGATTCGAAGCAATTTTTGTGAGTTATCGACAAGTAGACTTTATTCACAGAAAATATATATGTATAGAGAATATATATGTATTATCTCACATCTCTTTTTTGAATGCACGGGAATTGCGGTTAAGTCAAGAGTGTATTTACACATCCGTTACACATACGTTAACATTCAGAATACGTCTTTTATCGGGAAGAATGCACGATTCTCGAGTGGGTAGACAGAAGAATTATTCACACCGTGACCAGAATCACGGAAACGGAAAATTGATTCCTTTCTTGAGATTCTCTCCCGAGAATATCCTTGAGGGAAAAATAAATTCATCGAATTCCATTCTGTGAATCATGTGAAATAACATAACCCGGATTGAATCTCCGCATTTTCGTGGACTAAAACTACCGCGTAAACTCGCGCTGCGAAAACACCTTGATGCATTTCTTAAATCTTACGATTGCTGCGAGCCGAGCAGAATAAATGTTGCTTTTATTCAATACTATTTTCCCGTATTGCTCAAGTACCGTTCAACCATCTTCTAGAGTTATGTTTTTTTCAGATAATATGAAAAAATAAGCATTTTGTACAAAAAGTTTGTTATACAAGCTACGTATTTGTAGCTTTGTAAAATTACGAGAAGAATATAGGAATTTTAAATATTTCTTACACGAGTATTTCGCTGAGTCTTCAATCAATGTGTCAAACCTAAGTTATACCTAAGAATATATCAATACAACGCAAATTTTGTCGACTTGAATCTTTTCGTGTTCGAGTTTATCGATTAACAAAAAAAAGTGAAGATGTTTCGGCGATTCTTGTACAAATCACCGACATTTCACGGTCTTTCCATATATCGATTTATCCGTATTTTTCGTTATCTCGTCGACATTTTCGATATTTATGGAAATGTAGCTGACACGTCATGTTGCGCAAAAATCTGGTTGAATGAAGCGTCTTGCGATGTGTAAAATTTCCGTGAAAATTCTATACAAAAAGAAATATACACACGTCGTATGTGTTGCAATGTAAAATGAACATTTAGCAATAAAATCGCGAAAGAAAATTGACGGCAGGATTTATGCGTTTTATGGGAAAATTCATAAAATCAAAAACTTTTTATTAAATTTGTTTCTTTTTTGTTTTTTATTGCATTTATAGAATTTATATTCCACTTATTTTCAATATACAAACTAGGTTAACATTTAACGTCCAGGAAAAATTCGTAAAGAATATCAAAGTAAAAATTTTGTTTTAGAAAGATGTTAAAATATTGTATTAAATTTTCTTGAAATAGGATATATTTTTTACTGGGGCAGCTATTTTTTAATACAAATGGACTCGTGGATCGTTTATTTAGAAATAAATGAACAAAATAAGAGCACTAAAGATAAAGTCTGGTTATTTGAAGAATCCAATTTCTGTAAACATCCGCAGATTCGAACAAGATTACGTATCACAAAAAGGACGAGTAATAATCCCTGTATTGAGAAATAAAATCCGTGTCTCGTGAATTATTTATAAGCTCGCTTTTTCGTCTATTTTCATCCGATTACTATCGGCAGAGAAAGGTGAAAAATTCAGAAAATCTTTGATATGATCGAGACGGTCGTCAAGCGAGCCAATATAATCTCCGTCGTTAACGAAATCAATTTAAACAAGCTCGCTCGATATTTTTTTTCTTGCAGGCGTGCATTTCGATACGAGTACTGAGAGCTTGGTAAGCGAGATCACGACGGCAATTAAGGTCTATGCTTATGGTGTCGAGGACTTTGTCAATGATCCGAAAAATATAAATCGCAGTCTGAACACTCAATTGAGCTGCGAAGGTGCCGGTGAATCACGGTGGAGCACGGGGGATCTATTTTTCAAGTAATTTCTCGCAGAATTTTCTAAAAAGCTGATAGATTTGTGTGTTGTGCGTTCAAGCAAAGTTTTCTGATCACAGCAGAATTTTTCTTTGAACAATTTCACTATGAAATTTGTTTCCATTATTCAGCAGATTTGCAGAATTCTTCGAATATAACATATAGAATTTTTTTATAATATATTAGAACACAATATTTATTATTTCTCACATAATATATTATAAAAGTTACGATATATCTTTCTATTATATAAATATCAAAATTATATGTTAATACTTTCATATTTTAGTAGTTTTAATTTTTTAAAAATAATCTTTATCTAATAACTTTTAAGCTGAAATAAAAGCTCTTGCGGAATTTTTAAGTTATATGTAACACATTATATTATAACACATTATAACGTATAACGTAACAACTTGTTATTTCGTGTTTCTGTAGATATTTGAAGAATGTTTCCGTCGAAGGTGATCAAGGAAAACCGAACGTGGAGTTCACTCAAGATGGTGTACTAAAGGCGGCGGAACTGAAAATTATGAACCTTCGGCCAGGAACCAGCAAGCAACTCGTCTGGGAGGAGGTAAACCCAAATCATTTTGCATGCACTTTACCTTTCGAAACTTTATCTTCTGAAAGTTATTGCTAGTCACGCCAAAGGGTATATAAACACCGCTTTGAGCATTTACAAATAACTACGTAAAGACGGATGAATAATTAAAGCAGCGGACCAAGATTAAAACCTCAGCGTCATTACTCGGTGCCTGTACTAAATACTGAACTTTTTCACAAGATTATTAATGCAATTAGATATTTGCATGCATTTGCATAGAGTTTGCATAACAAACGAAAAAAAATTCCTAATGTGAAGAATTTCCATTAAAACTATGCAGTGTAAGAAAACACAAATGGACAGCAGCACTAGAAGTATCTTTCTTTTCTGGCTAACGTATAATCGTTAGCAAAATTACCTAAAATTTTTACATACAAAAATTAAAAGTTATCTCAAAAACAATACATTTCCGGAAATCTTGTGAAAGAAAGAAGATGCTTATTTTTCACAAGAAATGTGATAATGTCAGGACATTTCGTTGATTAATTATAAAATAGTACCACAAAATAAATTTCTAGACTTAACATAATTTGTCGAATTCAAATTTTTAGAAAAAGGATATTTTCGTAAAAAAATACGCAATGGGCCAGAAGTTTTTTTTTCCATCGTCGCGCATGAAATGGTTTTCGTACCGAAGAGGCGTTATCGAGCAAAAAAGCAGAATTTATCGCCCTCGATGCCGAAAAGGCTCAAAGGGAACGCCGCTATATATATATATATATATATATATAACACTGCGATCGTCTCTTTCGTTACGTCGGATTTACGGCACTGAACCGCAGAATTGCGGTAAACTTTAGCTTCCTTTTGCATCTAACGATATGCTATATATCCCTCTTTCGAACGTATTTGCAAGTGGACAAGAGCCGCAAAACGAAGTGCCTCTTTATTAAGAACGATCTCATTTTAATCCGCATCTTTTACCGTTTTCATAGTACCGGATCATCCGTTATAATAAATTAATAGGATAGCAAAAGCTTCCGCGTCTTTGGTTCATTGCGAGCGAAAGCACGTTCTGTCGCGCCAATGCTTTCTAGAAATTGTCAGGCTTGGTCGAACGACTCGTAATCGTGTTATGAATTGCCGTGCGATATATTGCAAGATGCACTAGCGTCTATAGCCGGTGGAAACGGTAGTAACACTATTGTCACGTACGCAATAGTCGAGAGAATATTACGTGGTGCTTCGCCACGGATGATATTACTATGGTATCCCTTAATGCGCGCTATGGAAATTTCCAACGAGGAAGATATCTTCTTAGGAAAATTCTTTTTAGAGAGGTCGCGATGTGAATTTCGCATATAAAGTTGCGTGCTAAAAAATCCGCGTACGTTTTCCAAACGATTTCTCAATTCTTGTGACTACACGGAATCATGGACTACGTAAATGTTTATTTCTCAAGAGATATTCTCTCTAATTGTATAATTCTATTATTCTATGTTCTGAACTTCATATGGTAGAATGTAGATAAGCGTATTTTAATATATACATATATATATATATATATATATATGGTATATATATAATATTGGACTTATTACAATACAGGACAAATAAGTTATATTTTATATGCGTGACTACTACATTATATTATAAAATAAATAAATATAGGTAGATAAATTTATAAAAGTAAAAATACAACTCTACAATGAGATATATAAAATTTACTTGCATTGTGCAAATTAGAAATTATTTATTTTTTATAAAATTGCTATAGCTTTTTATTAATATAATAATTTGATTAAAATATTACCATTAATTTAATCGATTGACTCATTACATAAATATTTAATAGAAAATACATATAACTAGTGTCTATATATAATATGTACATATATTTCAAATTTTTATGCACACTTTTTTGTCTAAGATATAAGCTTTTCTGAAATCTCGTCATATTATAACATATCGTTGAGCATCCATCAGAAATTTTTATTATCGTTTTATAAGTTTTAACAGCAGTATTAAGTTTCGCAAAATTGATGGAAATTTCGTCAGGAATGCCAATGAAGTTTAACTTTATCTTTCTCGCACGACATGAATCCATCTTTGTTCGGCATGCCATTTTATCCAAGAAATTCTTTCGTCACCTCATTAAAGTTTAAATCTCTCGCATCTTGAAAACCGTGACGTTTCGACACAAGCAAGAATTTACTATTTATCCGCTTCGATAAGTCCGCCGTTGTTAAACTTATCACCGAAATAGATTTTTTTGCTGAGTATAGTTGATAAAGCTCTTATTTAAACTTTTCAAGCAATTTATATGATATATTCTCATCCATACTGGCGGTACTTTTTAATTTGTATTCTGATAAAATATTGTTTTTTTCAACATTCTTACATTCAATATCAACCGTCTCTGAGAAGTCTTTTTTCCATATATTATTTCACAGTTTTATGTCCACATAATTATCGATTTAAAAATCTATAATTGCGTATAGTACGATATGAAAATTATTTTTTATTGCTCATACATAAATATTGCATATATCTCTTTTAATACATTCATAATTAAAATTTAAAAAAAGCTATTGCGAGTTAACATATATATTACATTATATCGGTAGAAGCTTTATTAATATTTCATGTTTTGTTCATTAATCAATTCAATAATGATACAATAATTATATGCTAAAATTTGATGACTCAACAAGTTTTGACGTGTCTTGACACATCAATGCAAATTCTACAACAAAATTGAAAAACTTATCGCAGATTAAAACATTTATTATATCTTTCGGTAAAAATTTTGACGTTGTTCTATTCATTATTCAATTTAACAAGGATACGATAATCTTATAATAAAGTTTGATAATTTAAGTTTCAATATATTTCAACTTTAAAGTTATGTTTGCAAAATTTTTGATAGATTTCTAAAAACTTCTCGTGTCTTTTTTCTACAAGTATATAAAGATTCGCGTAAATAATTAATTTTTCGTATACAAAATTATAAAATAATACACAAAAACTCGTTATTTAAGAAGTATAATATATGTGAAATATATATAACACATAAGAAATAATTAATTGTGGAAATATTAATATAAAAATGTTCTCCAGATAATTAATATTTTTTTAAGAATAAGAGAGATATTTGACATAGATATATAAATTTAAACGTCTCAGAAATAAAAGAGACGTGATTGCACTAGTTCTGTCCGAATCTAACATTTTTCGTTTCGCGACCTATTTATCCACGCTTATCTTTGCAAAGCTATAATTAAAACGCTATCAGTCTAGTACCTCGGCTCGTCACGTAATGAAAGCTACGTTAAAATTTCATTAGCCATCCCGCGCAACGGGAAACGAAACTTTGTTATCGCGACACCCGCGCGACCGCCTCGATTCCAACAATTTGCGCGTAGGTCACAATTTTAATTATTTCTTTTAATTCAGAAAAACGATCGTCTCGGTACTTTGCCGCTTTGATGAGCTTCTCGCGCGTTCGTCGTCGTCATCTCATTTCTAATTATATCTTCCGTTCGTATCACGTTGGCGCAAATCATTGTCGGCGGAATTCCATATAGTATATTGAGATCCCGTATTTCCATTTATTCCGTTCTGACAGTGACGTCCTTCCGTTTCGCTGCTAGAAATAATTAACCGGAGATATCGAAGGCGAGCTTGGTATTTCCTGCGTAAGATCGAGCTGACAAGTTGATAAGGGAGAATATAATGTATGCATGGTATGTATATTATAAAAAATGCATATTTTTAAATTAAAATATGATAGAATCGGAATTTTTAGTTTAACTTTATTTGTTTCAAGAGAAATGGTTAAACGCAGGTAAACGGTGGACCAGGCTTTTCACAGAAAATAATAAGTCTAGAATGTTGGTACTCCATGCTATGTGTATACAGTATACATTAGCGTGGTATAAATAAAGCTATTGAGCGTGGGCTGTTTCATATTACGAGTTTATTAGAGTCTCAAAGGCAACGAAACGTTTAGCATCTTTATAGCGCTTACATAATTAAGTTCAACTATTGCTTAAAAATTCCCTAAAAGAATTATGTTGCCGTTTAATGTTCTAAAAAGATTACTATATTTTATATACATAATTACACATATAAATGTATAATGTTATGTTTGTGTATGAAAATATATTTTTTTAATACATATAATTATTTAAATTAATTTAATATTATTTTATCATATATATATGATATAGCGTTTCTTTCTTGCAAAACAATTAATTCTTATATTTGTTTGCAAAATATCTTCTCACAAATGTCAATTATGAATTTTCACTGGGAACGTTTTTCATCAATAAATATATTTGTTCAACGTAATGATTTGTAAATGAATTAAAATATGTATTGCAATTGGATGAAAATTGAATAATTTTTGGATCCATCTCTCTTTATTTTTCTCGCACAATTCTCATAGATAACAAATGCCACGGCTAAAATTTCACGATACTGGCAATGCATCATTTTCCCGGTATGCGCGTGTTTTCCGCACATTTCGCTACTAAATTGCCTTTTGCAAAATAAGCGGATTATCGGATCAAAGTCCGATCCGCGTCCGGTCCGGCATCGCGCGCGAAATGCGTCGATCGACTAATCGCGTTACGTATACATATATATGTGCTAAATACCAATTTCCGATACAAGAATCGCTAAACTCGTGTCGGAATGCAGTTTAGTCCGCACCCTCCCTGTAATTCGCGCAATCGTGCGAAATTAGGTCGTCACTTAGGGAGCTGGGGAGCTAGAATTAATTAGTGTACACGCGTTTCTCATTCGTCAGCGGGATAACGCGCGCGACTCTGACAATCAACTGCACACAGCAGGATGTATATGCGACGGACACTCGCCACTCGGTCGATGTTTCAAGTATGCTCTCCTTGTGCATGCATAGAGTGAGATAAATCGCACTACGTATACTATAGTATATATCTAGGTACGCGGGAAAATCGTTGTAAACACAGTCATTTACAATGCCACTCTTGCGCTTAGTTTGCTAA